TAATCTTTATCAACTATGAATATGGTCTGTTAGAAAACTTTTTTCTATTTTATTTTCAAAGATCTTGTATATTTCCAAAGTTTATTTCTAGATATTTTAGCTTTTATTTCTTCTAGCGTCTCTTCTAACTTGTACATATAGCAGTCACACCTTTGAACATCCATTTTTATCTCGTAACTCATTTGCAATCTCTTTTCATTTTTATTCTTTTGTAAACTATTCATCAGTACACTTGTAATGATGAGCCCAAGTCTTAACTATGACTAATTGCTATCCTTTTCCTCTTTTGCCTTTGATTTTTATACTTTTCTGTTTAATACTCCATTTTCATTTCTTGCCTAAAAAGTGCTCTTAATGTCTTAACTATGTCGGGGACTTAATTTTCCTTTCCTTTCCATTCCCCCTTTTCCTTCTCTTATCCTTCTTAAATTTGCTGTACAAAGTTGAGATTTCTGGGACTAGCAATAGCTCAGACAAAAGTTGGAAGAAGGAAGCTGCATTTTCTCAGTTATTTTTGACCTGGCTAGTCATTTCAACAAAACAACTGTCATTAAGCTGGAATCAGCACATCACTGACCCATCAGGGCTTTGTTTTGTTTTTTAAATTTTTTTTTCAATTTAATTCATTAACTTCCTCCCCTTGTTATGTACTGTTAAATCAGACCTGACTGGTACAGGAGGAGATTGCCCCTCCTTCTACTGCGGAGCATCTGATGTATTCAACCCAGAGATTGTAGCCACAGCCTCTTGCCACTAGGCCACCAGAGCTCCCTTCCATCAGGGGGTTTTGGGAGGCTGTAAACAGCAAAGAAGACAGCTTATCTTTCTCTCTTAGAGCAGCTGGTGAATGCAAAACACTAAAAAGTCACTGCAAAAAAAAAGTCACTGCATTTGGTTTAGCAGCTCAATTTCCTATGGATCACTAGAGCTCCATGACTATTCATTTAGGCACAACAAATCCTACAGACAAAGAAAGGAGAGTCTCTAAAGAACCTCATGCCTGAAGACTTAGTACACTCATGGGTTAATTATAACACAACTGTCATTACAGTACACTAATAAACGCAGTACATTCATCAGTCAAAACACCACTAAGAGATGACATCTGACTTGGTAAAGCATGACCATAGTTATAAATCTATTATCTAGTAACTCTATGCGCAACTGCATTTAACAATACCAGCCACAATGAAGGAAGTTTCAATTAATGAAACCAGCATTCTTTCATTAGTAATTAATCAGAGCATTCTCTCTTTTCTACAAGCAAGATAAATAGAGAAAAGATTGAAGTTGTCAAGAAATTAGTTCCACAAGCCCACAGGAGCTAATGTTGTGGTTGTTAGATGTCTTCGGGCTGACTGTGACCCTTAGGTACCCCTTTGCACAACATTAAAACCACCTCAGCCAGTGCCATCCTCACAATCTTCACTGTGCCGAAGCCCATTTTTGCAGTCTCTGTGACTCCATCTTGAGGATCTTCCTCTCCTCCTCTGACTCTCTAACCTTTTCAAGTATGAGGTCTTCTTCCGAGAACTGGCCCCTCCTGGTAATACTCTGAAAGTACGTGAGATGCAATCTCATTTTTTAAAAATTTTTATTATTTTTGTGTGCATGTACCGTCAAATCAGATCTGACTGGTACAGGAGGAGACTGTCCCTCCTTCCCCGGCAGAGCATCTGGTGGCTTCGAACCGTGTGCCTCTGCCTCTGGGACTGTAGTTTCAGCTCCTTACCACTAGGCCACCAGAGCTCCCCCTAAATGCACTTCTTCTAGAACAGGTTTATTCTTTCTCTTGACAGGCGTTGGTATGTTTAATACTCTTTGCCAACACCACAATTCAAAGGTATTGATTCTTCTTTGGCCTTTCTTACTAATTTCTATCTTTCACAAACCTATGAAGCAACTGAAAGTATATGGCTTGGGTCAGGTGCACTTTAGTGTTTAAACTGACATCCTTGCTCTTCAGCATTTTAAAGAGGTCCCTGACAGAATATTTGCTCAATGCTGTATGTCACTGGATTTCTTGATTGCAGCTTTCATGTGTAGATTGTGGATCTGAGTAAAATTAAATCCTTGACAGTTTGTCTTTTCTCTACATTTCAAGATACTGTTTATTGATCCAGTTTTGGTGACTTTTGTTTTCTTTATGTTGAGGTATATTCCATTTTCAAGGCTGTATGCAGTCATTAACCTTCAACAGTAAATACTTCAAGTCGTCTTTGTTTTCGGCAAGCAAGACTGTATCATCTGTGTAACACAGGTTGTTGATAAGTCTTCCTCCAATCCTGATACCACATTCTTCATACATGTCCAACTTCTCAAATTATTTGCTCTGTATATTCAAGTTTAGGGAAAGAATGCAACTTTGAAGCACACCTTTCCTGATTTTAAAGCAATCAGTATTTCTTTGTTCTGTTTAAACAACTGCCTCTTGGTTTATGTATGTTTTTTTCATGAGCATAATTAAGCATTCTGGGATTCCCACTCTTCTAAATGTTATCCATAATTTTACTATGATCCACACAGTTGAATGCCTTTGCACAGTCAATAAAATACAAGTAAACATCTTTCTAGTGTTCTGTTCTTTCAGTCAAAATCCAGTATCAGCAATAACTTGTTCCAAATTCAAAGTTGGATTTAGCTTTTACTTGTGTGTGATATTGTCGTTGTTGCATACCATCGAGTCATAAGAGACTCATAGGTGACCATACAGCAGGTTTTCAGAGGAAATTTAATTGCACAGGAAGAGACTGCCCACCTTTATCCAATGGAGAAGCTGGTGGATTTGAACTGCAAGCCTTCAGGAATGCAGCACAGCTCCTTCTCACTAGGCCATGTAAGCTCCCTTATATGATAAGAGTGATATTATTAAATAGCTTCTGCATTCTATTGGATCACCTCTTATCAGAATAGGCACAAATATGAATTTCTTCCAGTTGGTTGCCCTAGTAGGTATCTTTCAAATTTGTCATAGATGAGTGAGCAAGTCCAGGGCTGCAACTGTTTGATTAAACACCTCAACTGATATTCTGGCAATTCCTGGAGACTTATTATTTTGCCAATGCCTTCAGCACAGCATATATTTCCTCCTTCAGTAGCACTGGTTCTTGATATGTTACTTTCTGAAATGATTGTCTACCAATTCTTTTTGGTACAGTGACTGACTGTGTATCCCTTCCGTCTTCTTTTGATACTTCCTGCATCATTCAACATTTTGCCCAAAGAATCTTTCTGCTACACAAAATATGATTTCCCCGGCCCCTCACTTCTTTCCATTTGAGAAATGCCAATTATGTTCTTCCATTTTGGTTTTCTAACTTCACATTTCATAATACTACTTTGTTTCATCTTCTCAAGCTGCTCTTGGAAATCTTTTAGCTCTCATTTCATTTCTTCCTTTTGTTTTAACTTCTTTATGCTCAAAAGCAAGTTTCAGAGTCTCTTCTGATATCCATTTTTGTCTTTTTATTGCCTTTTGCTTTTTTTCATATCTGATATTTTTTTATGTCATCCCACAATTTATCTTGTCTTCAGTTGTTGCTATTGAATATATCAAGTCCATGTTTGAGATGATTTATACATTCAGGTGGGATAAACTCAGCACCATATTTCGGGGCTTGAAGACTTGTTTTATCTTCAACTACACCTTGAACTTTCACATGAGCAACTGACGGCCTGTTCCACAGTTGGCCCTGGCCTTGTCCTGACTGGTAATAGCTTTTCCACTACTCAGTTCCAGAGATATAGCCAAATAATATTTACTTATTCATAAATATGTAAATATTGATTATTGGTCTTCAGTTTTTAGAGATAACTTAAGAGCAGATTATGAAAGGCCTGACTGTATGTATACAGAGGTTACACTAGACAGGAAAAACTGAAATATGTACCTGACAGATGGTAAGGATAATAATCTCCTCATCTGACAAAGTAAGGAATTAAGACACCCAGCTAGAAGTTCACAAAGCAAGAAATACAGGTTCAAGAGCACATTTGAAAAACACATAACCAAGAGAGCAACAATAACAAAGAATGCAAATATCAAATGGAATAATGGTATGAGGTAATGCTTCATTTTTTCAGATTGGAAAGTCAGTTATAAATTGACTTAAAAAGGTTAAGTAAGGAGATAGCAATTTTTACTGCATAATCAAAAACCATTTTAAAAATGAAGACTCAGAGAGCTCTGGTGGCCTAGTGGAAAGAAGCTATGTAGCAATAGTGAAGTCATGCGGTTTGAAACCACCAGATGCTGTTGGAGAAGGAGGGGCAATCTTTTCCTGTGCCAGTAGGATCTGATTCGACAGTACACACAAGAAGAAAAAAAAAACAACGAAGACTGTTTCAGCAGAGCAGGAAGGAGAAAGAGAGAACATTAATTGTGGGCTGTGCCATCTAAGTAAAAGAAAAAAAAAAAAACCCCAAAATAACAAATGCTGACAGCCAAACCCAAACCTGTTGCCATCAAATCAATCCCAGTTCACAGAGCCCCTTTATCAAATGGGTTTCCGAGACTGTACAATTTTTACACGAGGAGACCGCCCATCATTCTCCCTCAGGGAAGCTGAAAGATTTGAAATCCTGACCATTGAGTTAGCAGCTGGATACACTAGCATACACCACCAGGGCAGGGAGGTAGGGAAACTGGAAGTTCTATCCACTGCTGGTAGGAATGGAAAATGACACAGTCTTCGTATCATTTGAAAATAAGGTAGTCATTCCTTAAAAAAAAACACATTTTAATCATTATACTACCAGGGCCTCTTTTCTCACACTAAGAGCTAAATAATAATTGTATGCATCTATTATTACTCACTTTAAAAAATTATCATTGAGTAACTATTTAAAATCATATTGGCTTTTCATTAAATCATTCATACTTTTTGTTTTATAACATTGTCAATTGGTTACATTAATGGTAATGACGAATATGACTAATTACAATGTCTAATCAACTCCTTCCCCTCCCCTTAGTTGTGCGTTTTATTTCTGTGAGAAATTCAGGCCTCAACTGCGCGTTTCTGCAGTGGATACAGGCGCTCTTTTCGCTGCTGCTTCTTGGTTTTCAGCTTCTCCTCACGCTCATTGAGCCTTGGGCACATGGCATGTGTTTTCTTGGGCCTCAGATCCAGGGGTTTGTACTTTATGACCACACAGCACTTTCTGAGGTTCTCCTTCTGAGTCTGGTTAATAACAGTGAGAACACAGGCAATGGATTTTCAGACAAGTCGGATTTTGGAGAGATTGGAAGTCACAGGCCTGTCACTTTAGCTGACGTGCAGCTGGGACAGCTCCAACTTCAGATCATCCAGCTGTTTCAACATCTCCTCCTTCTTCTTACCATGAAGGTCCCAAACCTTGCTTTTGGCCATGGCTGAGCAATAGAAACTTGCTGCCACCTCATCTGAGGCCAAGAGAAAGAATCTAATCAAATTCTTAATGTGTATTTTCTTCCAATCAACTTATTTATTTTTGCTCCCTCTCTCCTTTTCCATCTCTATTAATGTTCCAAGATTGATTGATTCTATCTGTGTGTAAACTTTCCCTTAGCTTTTTATTCTCTCTCTCTCTCCCCCGCCCCCGCCCGCCCCCTGACTGTCAGGTTGGAACTAACTCACAGCTGATCCTTCAGTGGGTTTCCAAGGTAAATCCACAAGAGGAGACTGCCCAATATTCTCCTCTGCAACTGCTGCTGTTGTGTCAAGTCAGAACCAACTCATAGCTGACCCTCCAGTGGGTTTTCAGAGTCAGGTACTCTCACGGGAGGAGGCTGCCCAATCTTCTCCCACAGAGCAGCTGGTAGATTTAACTGTCTTTGAAATTGCAGTTCAGCTTCTTACTACTAGGCCACTAGAGCTCCCTTTTGGAATTGCTAGTGGATTTAAATCAGCAGAGAGGCTTGGCCTTTGTGATAGCAGCACAAATTTCCACAGACTACAGCACTAGAGCTTCCTGCTTTTTATTATAATAGTGATCTTATACCACAGTAGTTCTTTTACAACTGACTTGCGTCACTCAACATAATTTGTTCTAGATTCAGCTATGTGATGCAATGTTTCACAAACTCTTTATCTTTTTTCAGTGAGGCATTATCCTCCACTATGTGAATGTACTGTATTTTCCTCTGCCATTCATCCACAGGACACTTGAATTGTTTCTGGCTCTCTGATTTTGTAAATAATGTACCAATAAACACAGGTGTGTGGAAGTCTGTAGATCTTATTTCTTTGGATAAACAGCTAGTAGTGGATTGCTAGATCAAATGTTATTTCTATTCCTAGCTTTCTAAGGAACTATAGTGAATGCACCATTTTATTGTATTCCCACTACCACTTAGAAATTCTTTTAGAAACAATTGGGAAGGTTCTCACTGATTTGCTGAGGAATGCTGTGTGGCACTCTGATTTTAACAGTGCATCAGTTCTTTAACAAGGATGCATATCAAGGTCCCTGTACTCTTTCTACAGAGCTAGGGCAGGTAACAGACTTTGGTCTTTTTATGAAAAAGTTTAAGTGCTTCTGATTTGTGATCAGGTTGAGAGCCAACAGTCTTAAAGGATGACCCATATAGAGTTTTTAATCATATAAGCTACTCTTTAGCTTTTGAAATAAAACAGAGATGGGAAGAAACTGACTTCAGCTTTGTTTCATGAGGACATTAACTTGGCTGACAAAGCCCTCTTGCAGTTCTGGTTTTTATTTCCCTTACCTTTGTTATTTGAACTGCATCATCCATCACCACTCATTGGAATTCCATAAATAGCTTTTTCTAGTTTTGCCACCTGCAACCAAAAGAAAAAAAATCTTTAGAGAAAAAAAGCCCTATTTAAACACAATGCAACATGTACGTACATTGTAATAAGATGTTATGCAGAGCATGAATCATATTACATGCTCAGTCTTCCATCCTTAGATCACTGACAGACTAATTAAAACATCTCTTCTGCAGGAGCAAGATAAACATTCCTCCACTGCCCCAAAACTAAAGACCATTTCACCACAGAATTTTTTAAAGTACCAGTAGGTCAGTGGCTCTAAATCAGAGATTTTTGGCCCCCGCAGACATTTGGAAGTCTCTGAAAACATTTTTTAATTGTCATGCCTCAGGGGTACACACATCTACATGCATCTCGAAGAGACAGGCCAACGATGCTGCTAACCATCTCACAAATCACAAGCCTGCACCTTACAACAAAAAATTCTCTAATGCAAACAGTGGAGCGGCATGAAGAATCCTGTATTAAGTTCAAGCTCTGCAATTCATTAAGTAACTAATGAAATATATTAACCTTGCCAAATCTAGATTATTTTTTTTCTCTCTCTTAAAAAAAGTACACCAGATGGGCCTTCGGGAGGAACAACGGCCTTCAGGAGGAGCCGAGGAGCATATTCCTCGGCACAATCAACCACAGGAGAAGAGACCATGAGGCCAGAAACAGGTGCAGAGGAAGCAAGGAACAGAAGGACAAATAAAAAGAGGAGAAAAAAATTCTGCTACACTGAAGAGATTACAACTAAAATCATTAGGCAACAACTGTATAAGTATCTGTCAGTAAAAAAAAAGAAGTTGATTGTACTATGAACTTTCACTCAAATCACAATAAAACATTTTGTTGTTGTTGTGTACCATCAAATCCGATCTGACTGGCACAGGAGGTGAATGCTCCTCCTCCACCAGGGGAGCATCTGGTGGATTTGAACCATATACCTTCGAGATTGCAGTGCAGCTTATTGTCACTAGGCCACCAGAGCTCCCTCAATAAAATATTCTTCAAAAAAGAAACATCTAATTGCGTATTTAACTCTATGTACACAAACACTTCTAAAAACTAGAGCTTGAATTCTGTATTGTGGCAACTCGCATATTGCTGTGGTGTCTGAAATTATGCCACTAGTATTTCAAATACCAGCAGGGTCACTCATGGGGGACAGATTTCAGTGGAGCTTTCAGAATAACTAAGAAAGATGGAGAAGCAGGACTGGCCATCCAATTCTAAACAGCAGGCCTTTGAAAACTCTATGAATAATGGAAGAAAACTGTTGGACATTTTGTGGAAAAATTAGCCCCTCAGGTTGGAAGGCATTAAAAAAATTAAGAAGTAGATGCAAACATGTATTAATTGGAATGTAGAATGCACGAAGTTTGCATCTAGGAAAACAGGCAGTTGTAAAAAATTAAACTGAACACAGAGATCTAAAACGAATCAGCATTAGTAAGCTGAGGTGGACTAGTATTGGCTATTAAGAATCAATCATATGATCTATTATGCCAGAATGACAAAATGAAGAAGAACAGTACCCTGTTTATCACCAAAAAGAAACATGTTGAAGAACCTGAAAGGAGAACCCTAACTGGCAGGAAGAACTAAAAACCGAGCCTTAACGTCAAAGTTTCAAAGAGCATGTGAGTATGCTTGAGAAACTATCCTGACTAAAGAATTATGTCCTGTTTCCACTCTAAATTATAACTTGTTAATTTCACTAATAAATCTAATAAATACTAAAAAACCAAAAAAAGAATATTTTACTATCTATCCTAAAGTATGGAGAGAGGACACATTCCTGGCGTACGCCCTTTCCAATTTTGAACCATGCAGTGTTCCCTTGCTCTGTTCTGACGACTGCCTCCTGGTCCAAGTATAGGTTTTGCATTAGCACGATCAAGTGTTCTGGGATTCCCATTCTTCTCAGAGTCAGCCACAGTTTGTTATGATCCACACAGTCAAACGCCTTTGCATAGTCAATGAAACACAGATAGACATTCCTCTGGTATTCCCTGCTTTCAGCTAAGATCCCTCTAACATCAGCTACAATATCCCTAGTACCAAGACCCCTTCTAAACCCAGCCTGGACTTCTGGCAGTTCTCTCCTGATGTGCTCTTCCAGTCGTTTTTGGATAATCTTCAGCAGAATCTTGCCTGCATGTGAAATCAATGATACTGTTCTATAGTTTCCACACTCTGTTGGGTCACCTTTCTTTGGAATGGGAACAAATACCTTTTCAATATGTATGCAGAACAGATCATCCGGGAGGCTGGGCTCTATGAGGAGAAATGCGGCATCAGAATTGGTGGAAAATCTATAAACAATTTGCATTATGCATATGACACAACCCTGCTTGCTGAAACTGAGGAGGACCTAAAGCGCTTACTGCAGAAGGTCAAGGACTGCAGCCTACAATATGGATTGAGGCTCAATGTCAGGGAGACAAAGATTCTCACCACTGGACCAATTGGCAGCATCAGGATGGATGGTGAAGAGATTGAGATTGTACACAGCTTTAGTTT